TTATGTGAAATCGTTTGTCTAGACAGATAAGCCTAAAACGATTGACACCTTGGAAGAGAATAAGGTCTAATCAGATTATCGTCCAGCAAAGACCCTTCATCCTATGTTCAGAAGGCGAACCTGACGATGAATTCCAACCATTGAGCATGCTTTCGATTGAGCATATTCTAGTGGTAATCTACTTTCTTATTCTTCAAATCGATAATCGACATTCGAGCTCCAAAGTAATCGGGTAACGGTACGTCTATTCCATTAACCCCAATCGATTCAGATTCACCGGGCGCTCGAAATGCCTATATCGAGTTGTTGATGAGTGTTCTCCGAGGTGGTTGTGCGTCTTCGCTGTGAACAAAACAAAGTGTACGGTGTCGACGGTAGGTACTCGGAACGTACGCATATCTGAGAGCGTCTGGAGAGATGTCTTCCATATATTACAAGATGGCCGATCTGATTGTGAGTTTTTCGATCCGGAGATAGCCAAGTAGCTTGACAATTTTTTTGTGTCAGAATATGGTGCTACAGTTGATCAGTATCAGCTTATTTAGACATGAAAATAGAATCTACGGACTTTTTGTTACAAGCACGATTGGACATCATGGCGGGGGCAACACTCGTAGGTGTGATCGAGATGCTCACAGAATGCACCTTTAATCACATCGTCGCACCGAAGCGTGAACGCAACAGGAAAGAAGTGGAAGAACTTCGCTTTGATTCGGTTAAATGCGAAACGTTAATTGATCCTTGTGAATGCCAAGATACGGCAACTGAGTCTTCCTACCATCGCAACCAAGCACTGCTTTATATGGCCGCTGTAATAAATTTCACATCCTTGTCCCAGCCACGGCTCAAATGATAGTCAGACAGACTTTCTTGGCGCTCTGCACATGATCGTGCTCAAATATTATATTAACAAACAAAAATCTAGAAATATGAAACATCTACAAAATTTCTTCCTCAATCCGATCTCCAGCTAAATGCAATCCATTAATTGAGCTCCACTTAGCAACCACTCATTTCGCACAAGTTTTTTATGTGTATACATGTACATGTGTATTTTATTTAATTGTTGCTCAATCACTTTCAATTAAAATGTGTGGAAATAAATATTACTACAAGCATACATACACGTATGTACGAGTACATACACGCAATCTTTGCCATGCTGTCGATATGGCGAATATTGAAGGCGTTAAATACGCAAATTACGCACTCAAACCGCACGCCACTCAAAATTGCAATCAATTTAGCTAATTGCAGGGCAAATAAACGCTCATTGTCGCTGGTGCCGGTGGACCGTTTATGAGTAACAGTCAAAGGCAACCAACGCCGGCTTCTTGCCTGGGGTGGACTTTTCTGTCAATGGCCAATCATAGTAAGAGAAACCGAAGCGTTTGATATGTACTCATCATATACTTCTGCAGAAATATGTACATATGTACGAGTATGTATATATGTCAAATATTTCGAAATTTAAGTAAAATCTACTGGAATTGTTGAAATAGAATTTGTGATTGAACGTTGACACGACGACGTTTAATGACTGAAATGATGGTTTTTAATTTGTGAAGAAAGCTTCGTGTATAAACACATACATATATAATGCATACGTTCATACATACATACGAGTACCAATTATACATATGTGATATGTGATCTAGTTTAGAAAATCATAAAATTTCTTAAAGAATTTTGTACAACGTGACCGAAGAGACTCAAATGATCACATTTAATTGGCAATAACAGCGCTGAAGAATTTTATAACGGGTTATAGCGCCCAGTAACTGAACGCAACGGTTTTGTTTCGAATTTTACGACTTTAGCATATGCGTATATGTATGTATGTAGAATTCTTATAGATTCTCAATCTCTACTAAGCACTTATTTCGTTTAGTTCGACAAAAACGTGAATTGAATTTGAATTTTTCGTATTGAGTCACTCACCCAAATTTCACTTCAAATACTCTGAGAAGGAAATTAATTCAGATAAAACTTATACAAAGTCATAGAATAATAAAAAACTCTGCTATTTTTTAACAATAAAACTTAAACTATCTTCAGTATTATACATATAGATGCTCGTGATTACATATCTACATATATTTTTCTTCAAAAATAAAAGCCAAACTTTTGCATGGTTCTCGAAACTGGGTTAATGTATGCAAAATAGTGAAGAATGACTAGCATAGCAAATGTTTTCAATTCAATTCAGTTCATTTGTTCAGTCAGAGATTTACAAATCTTACGGGCTAGAAGTACAAATTAATTAGAAACTCTAGGGATAGAGCCAAAACGCGATCTCAGGAATTCAAAATCAAGATCAAGGCTTCTAAAGATTCTATTAAGTTCAGAGAGTGTTCTAACAATAGCATCGTAATTATTATAATGGGCTTTAATTACATCAAAATAGAACGGATAATGAGAGCGCAAAATTCTATCAGGAACATTAAAGCTGATCTGATCAAGCAGCTCTTGACAGTCCACTAATCCACTGATGATGACATAACAAATAGAGCAAGAGATTTCAGATTTATCAGTTTACTTCGAGAAGTATAAGAAAGTAGAGGATCAGAGAAGTGAAGCGAAGCAAGAATCTTTGAAATCACCACCATATCATATACAATTGGTGCTATGTAACCGCTGAAATGATTTTTGGCCGAGCTGAGGTTTTGCGTTTTGATGTTTTTCCAACAAATTGAGGGACCTACAGTTTATACTAAGACACCTTTGAACGGCTGATACCGCCCTAAAAAAAGCAAGGGTTAGCATAAGGAATGATGCAGTTGGTGTGATTAATGAAGGTTAATCCCACATCAAACAACATACCAAGATCTAAAAATTAATTTATTTACAAAAGATGGCTTATTATCAAACAGATAATAAGTCGATCTGAGCACATTTAAGCACTTTGAAAAATAATTTTAAAGCGTTTTTTTTATATTAATAGGCAAATTATTCCTGATGCTCCAATTGGCGAAATTGGCTAAAGATCCTCCTGTTAAACATCGAATGCATTTAAATGGTTTTAGGTCGCCTCCATAAAGCAAGATCTAATGTCATTTACAAAAAGAAGAAATAATAACGCACCAAGAATGCTACATTTAGGTGGCCTCGAAGGCATGTTGCCAAATAAAAGCAAAATTAATTTAGAGTTTGTTATACGAGTATGTTTCAAAATTGTTTTGAAATGACAAATAAATACTTTTCAATGATTTAGTCCTTTCTGAAATTTCTTAAGATTCGGATTAAGGATGGAACACCACTTCATTCATGTGTCTGCTACGGCTGGTGCTGCAATAGGCTATTCTCTTTCGTCTGTCTTCCCAGCCTTTTAACACAGTTTTGATTGTTCGGTCTTCTAAGTCTGTTTCAAGTCATGAATCATCTCTGGATAGCTGACGTAGTAACTTATCCACAAGGGCGTGCCACAAAAAAAAGTTCAACGGAGTCGGCCTGTTTACATTGCCGTTTTTACTATTAATGCGACAGTGTAGCGTGTGCTATGTGGCACGTACCGCCGTCGTATTGAAGCCACACATAGTCCATACATATAAGTAATGAGACTGATTATATTTCCATGATTGTGGTAATCCTTCAACCTTGCAATTCCTTTTCCCCATTCTCCATTGAGATATTTGCCATCGCACTAGCTTGTTTCGTTCGCCTGCTGTGTCGTGTTCAGTAAACGTGTGTTCGTGGTGCTCGTCGTGAAAATGGAAAAACTCTAATCGATAAAATTCAAATAAATCAGCCAAGCACTCGAAAGATTGTGAAAACGAGTCAACAGGGTGCGCCCAGACATCGCTCGTAACTGGATCCTTCATCACGACAACGCGCTGTGCCACATCTCGCCCTCAGCGTGTCCCAGTATTTGGCCTCTAAAGGGATCGCAACAACCACCTTATTCGCCCGATATGCCACCTGGTGACTTTTTTGTTCCCTAGAACAAAATCAGTGGTCAAAGGAACTAATTCTGAGTCTATTGAGGACATCCAAGCGGCCTCGACGAGTGTACAAGCGGACATCCCAGTCGAAGCGTTTCAGAAATGTTTTGCATTTTAAGGTGGCTATCGGCATGGAAACGAGTTTTAAAGGGAAAAAATATTTTTTGTTAAAAATGCTCATCTTATAATAAACAATCTTCTTATGAGCAAGCCGAATTAATAAGGAACCAACCACACTGTTAAAAACTCGGCTGAAATGAAACCGAAAAAGGTAAAAAAAAAAGAGGACATCTCTTAGGTTGTAGGAGTTTTAACAGGCCACTGCTTGATAGAAGGACATGCGGTGAGCTGGGAGCTTTCTTCAGGAGATATTGTGGAAGCTGAAGAGCAAGAAGTGGCCTCTCAACTCCTATGTGACTGTCCAGCCTTGGACAGAGCTAGGTTCCAATATCTATGAGCTGCTTTCATCGATGATTTGCATAGGACAGCAGATGGATGGATAGTGAAACTTGAGGATCGGGTCCACACTGTGGTATTACTACGAGGCTATACTGGCCTTAGTATATCGTAGCTTATTCATCTTTATCAACTTCCAACTAACCAAATTTGGAATTAAATTTTCGAATTGAGGTCGATCCTCTGTAGTGACCGTTGATTCCTTCGAGTATATTGCTAGGATGTGATAAACGCTTCTCAAAAACTTCATTAGCCTATCGGAAGCAGTGAAAGTATGAACTGCTGGTCTATCCATTTGCTGGGAAGCGGTTCGGAGGTGGCTTAAGACCTGCAGATGCCTGCATTTTTAGAAAAACATACGACAAATCAGAGAAAGACTTGGCTGCTACTGCGGTCCAATAGGCAAACAGACGTAGGAGTACATGGAGTGCATGGCTACTGTATAATTAAAGTTAAATCCTTTTCTGGTATTCAGGCCATAGTTATGATACTACAAACATTACCTCTATCGCAGTATAAATTTATTTAATTTTTTTTTAGTATAAATTTATTTAATATATACATATTTATTATTTAACAAGAAAACTCTATTCTTTCTTCCAGGTGGCCAACTTAAAACCAAAAACGGACAAAAATATGTATTCAACGGTCCTCCATCCGGTATCTATGTGACCCGAACATGTGTGTTCTTCACTGCGCTATTGGCGCTTGTGGCGCTCATCTTCACCATACTCATAACATATTTCTTAACAGCGAACTCCGCGACGACGCCAAGGTGGGTATCAATAGCAAAATCAATCTATGCACTTACTTACAAACATATCTACCTTTCATTCAAATGGTAAAGTTTTTATAGTTGTATGGCTAATAGTGGTGTGGAGCATCAATTACAAAGTGTAACTAATCACACCACAAGCCACGCCATTCGTGCGAACGATGAACTATTAGTGGTTTCCTTTTTATTCAGATACATTAATTTCTTAACACGTGACCGCAGCAATCAGTGTACCAACACCCATTTACATATATGTATGTGTGTAGAAATGTGTATATGAATTCATTGCAAAGTGTGAGAAATGGAAATTTTCATTAACAAATATTACTGTTATGATTTCCAAGGTGTGTTCTCTCTAGCGAAATCGTAGCTTGAACTAAAACGTTTTGGTTGAATTTCTTCTGTCTTCTTACTTGGCGCCGATTCTATTTAATTATGTTGTAACCTCGATAAGACAATTTATGACATTTAAGGTTAGTCACTTCCGTAGATTACACTGGTCCACAAAAGTCTGGTTTCTTTCCATTTTTTTTTTTTGTTTTTGGTAAATCTAGACGGCCGTAAAGAAAGATCCTGATCCGACCAATATTCGAAAATTACAGAAAATTATTTTCTTGTAGCGGTTAACCCTCGATAGGGAATTTCAGATCCCCTGAGTGTATTTCTGACGTGAAAAAAAAATCTCCTCATAAAAATCCATCAGCCGTTCGGAGGCGGCATAGTAGTAGCCCCTCTATTTGTTAAAAAAAAAACATAATGACTTCCTCTTCTTCTTTGCATGTACACCGTTTGCGTGATTACAGCCCAGTCAACAGCAAATTTCTTTCTTTTCACTGTTTGGCGCCCATCAAAAACGCCTAAAACAGCTAGATCCTTATCCACATGATCCTTACAACAGAGTAGAGGTCTTCCTCTTCCACAGCTTCCATCGAAAAAAAAGCCTAAGTATTCGTATCCATCCGGACCCCGTAGCCGAGCCAGCGTAGCCGTTTTCTCTTTCCATTGGCTGGGGTATTCGGCGTTCCCAACTCTCAGTGGACCACAAATCTTACGCAAAACATTTCTCTAAAAATCCCTTAACGCAGTTGTTTTCATCTTCCATGCCTCCGCACCATATAGCAAGAGGGAAATGAAGAGAGACTGTTAGACATTTTTCTTAGTTCCTTGAGAGAGAATTTTAATTTGTACTTTTATACTCAGTCTAAAGTAGCACCTGTTGGCAAGAGTGACTCTGCGTTGGATCTCCAGGCTAAGGTTGTTGTTGGTGTTAAAACTGATTCCAAGACAGATAAAAATATCTACAACTTCAAAGTTATGATTGTCAACAGTGACGTGGGAGCCGAGTCACGGAAGCTATGACTGCTTGTTTGGTGACAGGAGATATTTCGTTTTGCCCTCGTTCACTACCAAAACCTTTACCCTAGCTTTTTTATCCAGTTAGGCAGAATTCAATGCGCGTTTCTTGAGATCAATGATATCAATATCATCATTACTCAGCTATACTGATTGTGACTTCTCTTTTCAGCTCTGCAACTCGTATTATTTTCTCCAGCTATAAATTAAAAAAGTCACTCGATAAGGAATCAAATTGGCTGAAACCTCATTTGATATCGGACTCCCCGGAGAGGTCTTTTCCATCAATACGGCCATCATAAATTGAGAGAGAAACAAAAAAATCACTAAAAATTTTCTTTTTGTTGACCAGTGTTATTGTTTAGATGTCTTTCATTGATATTTTTGTTTCCGTTTTATGGATAGGGTTGAGTTTTGAGGTTTGCACAAGAAAGTAAACTCGATTGACCCAAATAATTGTTTTGACAAATTGGCGGAAATGTAGAAACTATTAAGCAAAATTAGAATTTTTTTATTTAAAGAAAATAATCGCAAAAAAAGGCGTGTTTATGTTAGCGATATTAAGTAAATAATGGTTGGTGGAAAGTATTAATGGCGCCTTAATTGGTTGGTTGATTGCAGTAGCGGGTCAAGACAAGCAATACTTAAGCTAATAAGCAGGCACACCGTCTCTAATTACTACCTGGTAATAGGTTCGGCAGAGAATGTCAACCCCATCGAGTATACTTCTGATATGAAATAAAAGCCGATCATAAAAAACCTTCAACCGTTCGGAGGCGGCTTAGTATAAACTGTAGTTCCCTCCATTTGTTGGAAAAACATCAAGACGAAAAACCACAAATTGGTGTAGGGGCTCGGCCGAGAAATCGCCTCACAGGTTACAAAGCGCCAATCATATACGTATATATTAGGTCGCTAGCAATTTGCTTCCAATTCAATTGACTTGCATTTGAGAGGAGCGTAAACCCTTATTGTCACGTAGTCAGTGAACTGAAACAGCGGAAGGGCAGTAATTAGCAACTTTTTCATCCAAATCATATTCCAAATAATCCTCAGATGCAGATGTGAACTACACAGCCTCCGAAGAATTTTGGCAATGAAAAAATGCCGTTGTTTTCAATTCCATTTTATCCGAGCCTAGTTCTATATAAAACTTACTGATGTTTGCTGGAAAACTTCCTTTGTATCGAATCACGATGAAATCGGTCGCAGCAGTTAGTTGAGATTCACGATTTTTTCCGAAAGTAAGTTCAACTTCGTCTCATTCCCAAAAGTTTTTCAAGTAAGCTCTGTGTCTCTTTAATTGCCTATCTATTGTATGGATAGACTATCATATAAGTGGTCAAGAGGATGGACGAAGAGACAGACATGTTTCAATAGTTCCTAAAACTTCAAGTTACTCGGATCATTCGCTTAGAAGTTGTCCACTTTATGCCTGCCAAAACACATCAGAACTTTAATTTTTCTTTTGCTTTCGAATTTCGTATATTAGGTCAAGTAAAAAGTTCATTCCCAACTTCTCACCATCAAGCGCGTTCGCCATGGACCGGAAAAGATGGTAATCACTTGGTGCCACGTCTGGACTATAAGGTGGGTGCATTAGGTCCTCCCATCCGAGCTCCTAGAGCTTCTGGCGCGTCACCAAAGACGTGTGTGGCCTGACGTTGTCCTGATGGAACACAATTCGGGCTCTGTTGATCAAAGATGGCCTCTTCTGGATGAGTGCTGCCTTCAAGCGGTCCATTTGCTGGCAGCAGAGGGCCGAATTGAGTGTTTGGCCATAGGGAAGATGATTCCTAGCCAATCCCACCAAATACACAGCAAAACTTTCCTGGCCGTCAATCCGTCTGTGCTGCTTCCCGAGCTTTGACCACAACCGTTTGCCTCGATTTTGTCATAAGTGACCCATTTTTCATCGCCAGTCACGATCCGCTTCAGAAATGGGTCGATTTTTTTGCGATTCAGCAGCGTTTCGCAGATTGAAATTCGGTCCATCATATTTTTTTGCGTTAGTTTGTGTGGCACCCAAGCATCGAGCTACTTTTTGAACCCAAGGTTATGCAAATGGTTCCAAACGGTTTTCTGGCTTATCTTTAGTTCCTCAGCAATTAAATAAATGCTCACGTGACGACCTGTTTCCATGATTTTATCGCAATTTTCGACGACAGGCTTCCCAACGCGTGGTGCATCTTTGACATCGAAATTACCGGAACGGCTAAGTGCCCTTCCTTGAACGACCTTAGATGATCTATGACATTACAACTTCGCATCGGTATTTAACATAAAAATCACTTTCTTACCATCTTAGGAGAATGAAGATTTCTTAAATGAAAATATTTATTTAACTAATTCAAAAATTCATTATGATTCATTATATGACGATATTTTTAATTATATTCTCATTAATTCCCTTTCAGCTGCTTAAATGGCAACTCCAACAAGAATGCTCCTCCATTGGCTTTATCATCCAATATGAACAACCCACAGTACAATTCGACACCAGTAGGTGTAGCCAGTATGTTTGGAATGGCGCCACCCACATCGAGTCCCACAACAAGGTATGACACCTTGGCGCCAATAGCACCCATCGGTGACATTAACGTACCGCCAGATCACGATATTTTGGGAACGGATAAGAGTAAAGTTATTGATCGGAAATTACAACTGCACGATGGTTGGAGACCGTTGCACTATAAGTAAGTCCCAAAGTAATATATATAACATAATATATATGTTTCTGTATACATTAGGGTGTTCGTTATTTACAAAGTAGATTTTTTTCTTAGTTTTCAGGTTTATAGTCTTAAATAATAATAATGAAGATATTGGACTAAAGAGAGTTTGGAAGACTTACAAATGATGGGGTTTTTTGTGATTTTAAAGATATTAAATAAAAAAATATGCTTATCAAATTTTTTAAGAAAGGCTTAATGCGAAAATATTTTTGAATAGATGAAAATATATCTGAAAGTTTTAATTTAAAATATTAATATCGATAATTAAATATAACAATATGGATATCAAAATGAAGAGATTTCAAGAAGGTTTTGAAAAGAGTTGCAGCCTGCTAGAAAATTATATTACAGGTGGCTCAAGGGGTTTTACACGAAAACATTCTTTTGATTATTTTTCTCACAGGCAGAAAGGATTTCAAATACCATCGACAAATGTTCAAAAACGAGACTAATTTTTTGGGTTAAATACTTAAAGGAGCATAAAAGATCGGTCGAGGATTTATGATGAAGATTTTCGTAGAAGTTTTCAATCATTGCGTGCTGTTAAAGACGATTTAGACAAATCTCTTGGCAAAATGTTTGTAGCCATACTCCTGAGTTTTTTATAAACTTTTGTGTACATATCGGATGGGCAGGAAAATCGGCAAACACCTGTTTTTCCCACCGGCAATCGAACCAAGGACTGAGCTATTTGAAAAACAAAATCTTGGTCGCTTTTTCTTGAAACTTGGCACAAATATGACTCTTTGAAAAGTGCCTCAGGGATCAGCTTATCCGAAAAAATCGTATTTATAGTTCTTTGACTTAAAACTTTTTTCTTCTGCAAAGTACATATATTTATGGTTCGATTTGGTTAAATTTTTTATATGATATGCCTAAATGGAATACTCTTACATCTCGGAAACAGTCCAGGAACCGGGAAAGGATGACAAAAATTGGTATGATTTCGATATAAGCCATAGATCGTGTGTATATGTACACTCGGCAGAAAAAGTCAGCTTACACCCTTACGGCTTATTTTTCTTGTTAAAAAATTGCTTTTGTATAAAAAATTTCTGAGCGAAATAACATTGGGTTCTTTATATACCAGCAATAAGGAATTGCATAATGTAATAGCACTTAAAGCAATTAAAATTTGACAACATTGGTTTATCGTTGAATTTACAAAAAAAAATTCAGCGCAGAAAAAGAGAAACTCGGGGTGCATGGGTAGTAATGGTGTGGGCAAATATGGATATCTTATATTTTGAAAACAAATTTAAGGCAAAACGCGGAAGAACCGGGTCAAGGCTTTCAACAGATAACGATCTGAAGCATATAACGGACACAATGAAGCTTTGGTTGCTCAACAACGTTCCCAAGCAGCTTCGAACACCACCACAGTCATTAGATGTGAATCCTAAAGAGCAGCTATGGAATTCAATGGAACGCAAAAATCCGCCTAAGCATTATCACCTCAAAGGCTATGCACAAAGAAGTACTGCACAACGAATGGGCTAAAATCTCTTACATAGAACCTTGTAAACTTATCGATTCCAAGCCAAGACGCTTAACGAAAGTCTTAAAATGTAGAGAATATCCGATCTCCTATTGAATTTTAAATGAAATTCGTAAAATGAAAGCTTTAATTCGTTTTAAGTAACTTTTACGCACACCTTTTCCTTTTGTTTTTTTTTTTTGTATGTTAAATTTTAATATCCCTTAATGAATAAAAAATAAATTAAATTTTTTTAAATATATGTACTTTCTTACTTTACTGGCGTAGACAGTTCTTACGCGATTATAGCCGACTTAACAACACTGCGCCGTTCAATTCTTATTTTTGCTGTTTGGCGCCCAATTGGAAATACCAAGAACAGCCAGGTCCTACTTCCCCCTCCTTTGCTTCCACCGGCGGGTGCTGCATCGAAAACTTTCAAAGCTGGAGTATATGCATCCATACGGACCACATGACCCAGGCAGCCCGGAAGCTATTTCTTGATTCGATGAACAATGTCATTGTCTTTGTATAACTCGTACAGCTCATCGTCCCATCGTCTGCGGTATTCGCCGTTGCCATAAATCTTATTCAAAACCTTTCTCTCGAAAACTCCTAACGACGTCTCATCGGATACTGTCATCGTCCATGCCTCTGCACCATATAGCAGGACGTTAATGATGAGGGACTTGTAGAGTTTGGTTTTCGTTCGTCGGAAGAGGACTTTATTTTTCCATTTCCTTCTCAGTCCAAAGTAGTACCTATTGGCAAGAGTGATTCTGCGTTGGACTTCAAGGTTGACGTTATTATTGGTGTTAATGATGGTTCCTAGATAGACGAAATTATCTACGACTTCAAAGTTATGACTGTCAACAGAGACGTGGGAGTCAAGTCGCGAATGCGATGACTGTTTGTTTGATGACAGGAGATATTTCGTCTTGTCCTCGTTCACTACCAGACCCATTCGCTTTGCTTATTTTTCAAGCCCGGAGAAAGCAGAACTAACGGCGCGGTTGTTGAGGCCGATAATGTCAATATCATCGGCGTACCTTCTCTATTCAGCTCTGTAGCTCTTATTATTCTGTCCAGCATCAAATTTAAGAAATCGCACGACAAAGAGTCAACCTGTTTGAAGCCTCGTTTGTATCGAACGGCTCGGAGAGGTCCTTCCTAATTCGGACTGCGCTTCTGGTGTTGTCTAGCGTCAGCTTACACAGCCGTATAAGTTTTGCGGGGATATTCAAAATATGTAAAAGCCTTTATTTTATTGTGTTATTTTTGTTGGTATTATTATGTACGCAGGCTTTTTCTGACGAGTGTGGCTGAGTGTGAATTGGCATAAATCCGAATGATGCGCTTGATTTACTTCGATGCATTCATATAGACATTCCCGTTAAAGATACACGCAAACAAACACGCAGAACTTACTATTTTGTATTAGTATACTTAATAAGGCGGCCGCGGTAGCCGAGTGGTTAGCATTGCGTACTGACATTCGGAAGGCTGGGGTTCAAATCCCTGTGCCACCAGCATCCAAAAGTTATGGAAAATTAATTACAATAAAAAATTAAGTTAAATTTTGCAATAAAGGCTCCCCGTAAAAGAAAACCATCAGCCGTTCGGAGGCGGCTTAGTATAAAGTATAGGTCCCTCCATTTATTGGAAAATCATCAAGACGCAAAACCACAAATTGGAGGAACGCCTTTTTATTATTAATTGCAATACCAATTAGAATAAAAATTGGATAAAATACCAAAAGCTAAACAACATGTGGTCAGGCCAGGCCTGTTTATCTGAACATCAAAAATGATTTTGGTCTTGAATTTTCGTTTGGGCTATAAACATAAAAATTAGTGGGGATACAACAAAAAAATCAGCTTTGCAAAAACGGACACTCTAATGTTCATAGCTTTAAATACGAGTGAAATCACAATATATATATATGTTTGTACAATATTTTCATGAAATGGCGAAATGGCATTTCTTTCATTTTATTTAACTTTTGAATTCCAAGCATTTTTTAATCGAGCTTTCAATATTTATTCAACCTCGGTATGTACTTGCACTTGTGCAAATTTCACTCCCAACCAGTGTGGCAACAGCTGTACGCATTTCTTTTTTTTACGATAAAAAAAAATTTTTTTTCTTAATGTCTTTTGCGAAACAATCGTCATTTTATCGACTGTGGATTTCTCGGATTGGAATGGGCTATTTTGGGGATTTTATTCTTTTTAATTCTCAGAAGACCATAAATTCTCGGTATTTTTCATTTTTATTTATCTATGCCAATTACACTTTGACCCGTTGAACTGTAACGAACTAAATATATGTGCTCGTATGTACCTACATATGTGTGTGCTTATGTGTGCCAGGGCTACATAATAACGGGTTAAACTATTGATTTAACCTTAATGAAATAATGAAAGTGAAACGGCATTTGTCATGCAATTTCGTCATGCAAATTGCCAAACCACTGTCGGTAAAAGCTAGAGACTAGAGACGGATATTCATTTAATTTTCTTAATTATTATAGGGTGTAGTCAAGCGTCGAGATATGCAGTCACGGGGCGATACTAAATTCCTACTCCACGTAGGCACAACCCGGAAACATGGGCAGCACGTATGGAACTTGCATAAAGACTAAGAGAGAGGAAGCTTCAGTGCAGCCACTCCGACATATTCGCTTTAAGGGTTCACTAAAGTCTGATTGGAGCATCTGACCCTACTTCACTTAAAGAGAGCACACTATTGTTGACGACCAAATCAAACGTATTGAGGACTATGATTTAAGGGCATGCACCTGAAATATCTATATAATAATAATTGGAACGGAACTGCTGCCCAGCTGGTAGCTGTTCTCGTAAGATTAATATTTGACATCACAGCCGTCCGAGAATTTTGATGGCTAGGGCAAGGACAGCGACGAAATTTACTACGGCAACCTTATAAAGGAGAGCAAATTCGGCTTGGATTTGTGGTAGGAGAGAGGCTTTGTCGCCGCGTACCTGTATTCACCACGGTGAATTAACCACTCGCTACAGTACGAATCAAAGTACAACTCCTGAACATAACGCTGATTTATATCCATGCTCGTACGGAAAAAATGACGATATGACCATGAGTGCCTTTAATGAGCGTCTGGTGTATACATATGAGCACTGCTCCCGCCACAATGTCGAAATTATGCTTGGAGACTTTAACTCTCGAGTAAGCCAGTAAGCCACAACTGTCAACAACTGTCAGTCTGACTCTCCCCGTATCGAAAAAGCAATATCGATCATGTTGTGAGAGACGGTCGGCATGTCTCCAGTGTGTAAGCTCCGATGGGCCAACATCGATCCGGAACACTATCATTTAGGAGCAAGAATGTGCGCAGTAAAGAAAACTCGTCAACAAACGCAAGGAAGGTTTGACATCGAAAAACAGGAATCAAAAAACTGTCTACCCTGCAACTTTACCATCGACAGCTACAATGGCAGGACGG